CTCCTGGGTTCAAGCAATTCTCCTGCCTCAGCCTCCTGAGCAGCTGGAATTATAGGCATGCGCCACCACACCTGGCTAATTTTTGTACTTTTAGTAGATGTGGGGGTTTCACCATGTTGGTCAGGCTGGTCTGGAACTTTTGACCTCATAATCCGCCCACCTCGGCCTCCCAAAGTGCTGGCACTACAGGCATGAGCCACCACACCTGGCCAGAAACACAATTTTAACTGGTTTAAGAAAAAGTAAGGGAGCCTATAATCACAACCAGCCTGGCCAACATGTTGTAACCCCCTCTCTACTAAAAAAAATACAAAAATTAGGCAGGCATGGTGGTATATGCCTGTAGTCCCAGCTACTCAGGAGGCACAAGAATCACTTGAAATTGGGAGGTGGAGGTTGCAGTAAGCCAAAATTGCACCCTGGGCAACAGAGCAAGACTCTGTCTTAAAAGAATAAAAAACAAAAAGGGCATTGATTCTGGAGGTCTGGTAGTAGGATTGCAGGCATGGCTGGATCCAGCAGCTTAAGTGATGAAATCAGTTATCTTTCTCTACCTCTTTGCTCTGCTGTCCTCTGTGGGGGTCCATGTGGGGGGTGAAAGTGGTGCCAAGCTTGTATTCTGCCAGCCAACAAGCCCAGAGAGCTGAGCTTAGAACCAACAGCCACCATGATTGGCTGAACATGGGTCATGTATACATCTGCGGAGCCAGGGGAGGTAGGAATCTCATCTTTTATTGATTGATTGGTTGATTGAGATGGAGTCTCACTCTGTCACCTAGGCTGGAGGGCAGTAGCATGTTCTCAGCTCACTGCAACCTCTGCCTCCCAGGCTCAAGCGATTCTCCTGCCTCAGCCTCCTGAGTAGCTGGAACTACAGGCGCCCACCATCATGTCCAGCTAATTTTTGTATTTTTTTTTTTTTTTTTTTTGAGACGGAGTTTCACTCATGTTACCCAGGCTGGAGTGCAATGGGACGATCTCGGCTCACCGCAACCTCCGCCTCCTGGGTTCAGGCAATTCTCCTGCCTCAGCCTCCTGAGTAGCTGGGATTACAGGCACGCGCCACTATGCCCAGCTAACTTTTTGTATTTTAGTAGAGACGGGGTTTCACCGTGTTGACCAGGATGGTCTCCATCTCTTGACCTCGTGATCCACCCGCCTCGGCCTCCCACAGTGCTGGGATTACAGGCTTGAGCCACCGCGCCCGGCCCCCAATTTTTGTATTTTTTAGTAGAGATGGCGTTTCACCATATTAGCCAGGCTGACCTCGAAATCCTGACCTTGTGATCTGCCCCCCTCAGCCTCCCAAAGTGCTGGGATTACAGGTGTGAGTCACCGTGCCTGGACAGGAATCTTATCTTAACCCCAGGCACTGACAGTGAAGGAAAGTTTCCCCAAACAGAAGCTGAATGCCGTTATCAGAATTCTGGAAAGCAGCGCTGGGCTGTCAGCGGCCATGGATGTCCCTTGGATTCCCTTGCAGGACAAAGTCACGTCCTTCTCTTCCCTTCAGCACTCTGTCCCTCTGACTACAACTTCTATCCTTTATGTGGTGGGGAGAGCTCAGCTTTGAACACCTACTGAGCACCAGGTATTTTTACCCACAATTTACCCCACTGGATTCTTGCTATGAAGCCACAAGGGACAAACCTGGGTTTGTAACTCCTCCATTGCAAGAGGAAACTGAGGCCCAGAGAGAAGTGATTTCCCCAAGGCTGGCCAATGGCAGAGCTGGAGTCACTCCCAGATGCTGATGTTACTCACAACTGTATCTGTGTCCCCATCTGACGCCGCCACCATGGGGGAGCTCCCTCTTGTCTGTGCTGCTCCTCTTCCCACCCTGCCTAGCACAGGGCCCCACACACAGCAGCACCCAGGAAATAAGCATTGGATTGACCTGACTCCAAGCAGGTAGGGTGGAGGATGGGGGATGGAAAATAAGGGACAGAGGAAGGAGCTGAGAGGCCCCAGGGGCATCTGACCTTTAATAAAGTTCCCCTCTGTCCCTATTCTCACACTGGCTCCTCCCCATCTCAGCTTAACCCTCCTCAACTCCTCAGAGAGGCCCTCCCGCCCATCCCTGCCCCCACCCCACTCATGTTTGTCTCAGCCCCTGGTCCCTGCCTTCATAGCACCTTTTACTATTGGTCATCATCATGTTAATTTGCCTTATGGTTTGGTCTACCCAATCTCCTTGTAAGGTCTGTGGGGACAAGGACTGATCATGTCTGACTTGATCCCACTGGCTCCTTGACTCATGCATTGCACACTGCAGGTGCTCGACCAGTGTCTGCAAAGTCAAAGCTCTCCACTGTGGATGGCAGGTGCCACCCCTGTCCTGACAAGCAGACTTTCCCTCAAACGTCTCACCCACCCCTTCCCTGCCACCCAGGGCCTCTGCTGCCGCCATCCTAAGGGAAGATTGAGCCCCTTGCCTGCTGGGGCTCAATCTGAGCGGGGAGAAAGCTGGTGTGAGCCTGGCAGCGACAGCGGAGGGCGGCAGGGCTTCCGAGCTGGCAGACAAAGGGCGTCTGTTCTTGTCCAGTGCACTTCCTGGGTTTCCATTGCAGGAAGTTTGGCACCTGCTGATAGGTGACATCGACACCCGGGCTGCTGCAGGCCAGGATGCACCCCTCCATCCGGGAGTGGTGTGGCGGTGGAACAGACGGCCAAAGGTGCTGGAGGCAGGTAAGCAGAGGCAGCTGGACCCTCATTCCCCTTGGACTGTCCCAGAGCAGATGTGGGAGGCCTGGGTCCTAGACTGAGTCAGTGTGACCTTGAACAAAGCCCCAGATCAACCCTTTGGTGCCCCGCTATCCCACCTGGGGATGCAGGTGGTTCAGGGGATGTCATGGAGGTGATGACGGGCAGCTCCACTTTTATCTCTAAAATAAACTTCTGGGTCATCAAGCACTTGGAAAGGGGTTCTACAGCCAAAAGCCCCTGAAAACCCCCAGATCACACCTTCGTCCTTTGGGTCCTTCCTGTGTCTGGCGTTTGGTGTTTCCCTCGCAGTGGAGGGCATGGGGAAGTCGCCTCCAATGGGTGCTGCAAAGCTTGGGGCTGGGAGCAGCAGGGTATCACTGCCAAGCCAGGAATGAGCCAAGCGGGGGCTCAAACAGCCTTGAGCTGCAGCCTCGCCCTGCTGCACAGAACTCCCACCACCTCCAAGCACCGGCTTCTGAATCTGTGAAGGGTGGCAGTGGTACCTGTTCCTGAGAGTAGCAGAGCTGTGTGCCCAGGGACATGGCGGCTCTGGTTTGAATTCAGCTCTGTCATTTGCCCCTAGTGTAACCTTGAGCCTCTCTTGGCCGGCCTCCGTGTCCTTGACTGTGAAGAGGAATCATCAGCCCTGGCGCCCAGGGCTCTTGTGGGATTCAGAAGGGGATGAGGATGGGCACCAGCACCTAGAAAGCCCCCACCAAGGGCAGCTGCTGGGACTGCTGCTGTCACTGCAGTTTCACTGTGAGGATCAAACGGGAAAAGGGGTGACAAGAGGGATGGGAGGGGCGATGATTGGTGGGAGAGGGCGAAGGCACTCTCCTTCGACCTTATAAACCAGCCTCCCTCAGAAACAGTCCCAGAGCCACCCTGGAAGGGTGAGGCCGCAGGAGAGGGCCAGATGCTGCCTGGCCGCCCCGCAGATGGTGCTGGGTCCAGCGCTCCTCCAGATGCAGCCACTGTGGCTTTAATCAAAAGAACAATCTGTTTGCCTCTGAATCAGACCCAGATTCCTTTCCCCACAATGCTCCTGAGGCCTCCAGGGACCCGGGCGGCCCAGCCCAGCCCCATCCTGGGCCCCAGAGCCAGGCTCAGCCTTCCCTCCCCCTACCGTCCTAACTGCTCCAGTTAGGAGGGAGAGTGTCACTGGAGGTGGAAGGAGGGGTTCAGCCACTGGGCCAGCTGGATTCTGCCTTCCAGAGCTCCTGGAGGGGCCTGTCCCCCAGGACACGGGGACCCACCTGCAGGGGGCTTATAGCTCAGGACAGCAGAACAAGGTGACCTGCTCCACTGGGAGGTCTCTGAGACCCCCACCCGCAGGGACACTCCCGGAAAAAAACCCCAACCCAGCATATATTAACCTCTATTAATCACAGTCCTGGCTGCGACGGTCACCTTTTATCCTCAGGCCAACCTGGAGAGGTAGGCAGTGGTTACTCCCACTTTACAGATGATGACACTGAGGCTCAGAAGGTGGAGTGACTGCTCCAGGTCTCACGCTTAGTGAACGGTGGGCCGCAGAATCCTGATCGGCTTGACTCGCGACTCTGACGGATCCTAGAGCCAAACGGAGGTGTCAGAGCTCACCTACGCGGGACAGGGCAGGTGGGGGCGTCAACCCAGGAAAGCAAGGGAAGGGGGAGGGCAGGGACCACTCGGAGTCCATAAAGGACACGAGGGGGTGGACAGCGGGGAGGGAAGGAGGCCCACCCCACTCCCCATTCCTCTGCCCCCACACCCCTTCCCCCTAACCTCCACCCCCGGGCCTGGGCCAAGGGGGAGGGGAGGCGTGGTCCAGGAAACAAAGGGAGGGGGAGGGGGCGGCGCGGGGCGCGGCTGAGCAGGTTGTGGGGCGGGTGGGGGGGCAGGTAAGAACCGCTTCTGCGGGGCGGGAACCCCGCGCCCCCTCCCCACCGAGCCTCACCTTTTATGGTAACGCGGCGCGGGGCGGCGGGGCGGAGGGAGCCGAGGGGGCGGGGAGGGCGGACGGGCGGAGGGGGCGGGAGGCCCCGCAGCTCCAGACTCCGCTGGCCCGGGCGTTGGATCGGAGCCGCAGGGGCGCGGGCGGCCCAGGTAAGCGGGCCGGGTGGGTGGGGGTGGCGTTCCTCCGTCCCTGCCCCCGTCGGACACAGGTGACAGCGCTCGGCCGGAGCCCGCCTGGTGCCCAGCCGGGAGTCCCGGCACGGCGCCCTTGGAGGGGCCTGCGGGTTGGCGGTGCGGTCCTCACGTCCTTTGCGTCCCCGTCTCTTTTGGTATCTGTCCCCGGAGTCGGGGGGTCGGCGGGTCCGGGGCGAGGGCTCAGTGGGGGCGGCGGAGGGTCGAGTCCCAGCCCGGGAGCGGGCTCCGGGAACGGGCGCGCTGGGCGGAAGCTCCCGCACAAAGGGCCGGCGTCCCGCACATGGATCGAATTAAAGCCCCGGCGGCGCCCCGCGGTGACCCCGGCGGCCGCCCTGCTCGGCTGCCTGCGAGGGCCCGGAGTTTCCGGAGCCCCGGGGAGCTCGGGGCCCCTTTCCCAGCCAGGGTCAGGGGAGGGGAGGGACGGGCCCCGGGCTGCCCCTCTCTGGGCCTCATGCGCCCGTCGGGGGCTGAAAAGGTGCGGAGCTGGGCGATAGGTGTGTGCCCTGGGGCGATCTTGGCGTCCGCCCCCACCCGCCACCTCCCGCCCCGGCCTGAGGACCCCCGGGAAAGGCTGGGGCCGCGCCCAGATTCCTGCTCTTAAAGACGATGGAGGCTACCTCCTGGTCCTGGAGGCACCCCCAGCGGAGCGCAGCCCCAGGGCCCTTCTCCCGCTCAGCCGCTGTATAACCTTTCCTTTGCGCCTTCCAAGGGCCTCGACCCTGAGCCTTCTTTCCTTCTATATACTCTCAGCCGCCTTCAGGACAGACTCATTCTCACTTTATGAAAAGAACGAGGCCAGAGAGGTTCAGTGACCTGCGCGGGGTCACCCCGCAGGAAAGAGGTGGGGCCTCTTTTGAACCCAGTTGTGTCTCCTCTGTTTCCCTGGGGTGGGAGAGAGGTTGAGGGAACCTCTCCCTAAGGCTGCAAGGCGGGAGGAGTTGGGGCACAGCCCGCCCCATCCCCATCTCCGGCTAAGTTTAATTCCGGACCCAAAGGGAGACTGCTTTATCCAGTCATTAAAGAACAAAGCTGAAGCCGGATGTGGTGGCTCGCTCCTGTGATCCCAGCACTATCAGAGGCCAAGGCCGGCGGATCACTTGAAGTCAGGAGTTAAAGACCAGCCTGGCCAACATGGTGAAACCCTGTTTCTACCAAAAATACAAAAATTAGCCAAGTGTGGTGGCACACGCCTGTGGTCCCAGCTACAAGGGAGGCTGAGGCAGGAGAATTGCTTGAACCTGGGAGGCAGTTTCAGTGTGCTGAGATTGCACCACTGCACTCCAGCCTCTGGAGCAAGACTCTGTCTCAAAGAAAGAAAGAAAAAAGAACAGAGGTGGTCCCGGAGGTTTTTGTTTTTTTTTTTTTTTTTTTGGAGTAGGGAATAAGGAGTAGGAAGGCGGGTGGGGGCTGAGCTGCACATCCTCTGCCCCAAGGCTGCAGCCTCTAGCTGGTCTGGGTGGCTGGCTGGATCCCAACCTCCTTCCTAACTTTGGACAGGAAATGACTTTCCCTCCCTTTGTTCCCACTTTCTCCACTTATCTAACTGGATCTCTGATTCACCCTCTCCTGGAGGAAGAGTGGGGGCGGAGGGTCCCCTGGGCACGGGCGATCGCCCCTGGGGAACTTACACACATCCTGCTTCTCCCCCCCCACACACACCCTGCTCCCAGCTGACTGGGGGGCCGTGGGACCGGAGGGAAGCTGGGGCTCCCTTTCCCGATGGGATTGACAGGGTTTTGGAACTCCCCAGCTCAGTCCCTTCCCCTGGGGCCTGAGGTCCCTGCAGTCACTGCTTGGGAGGGCTGGGGCTGCCCAGCTGTGAACATCTGGCCTCCGTGCTGGACATTTTCCGAGAAACCAGGCATATCTGACTTCCTGGAGGAGTGGAGGAAGGGTCAGGGCTGGGTGGGAGGAGGCAGAGGGCCATCTCAAAGGCCCACACCAGCCCGGGGGACCAGCCCAGAACCTGCCGACCACAAGATTTCTGGATTGGGTCATTCTAGAGTGAGAACAGGCCTGGCATCTTGGGGGGCCTTGTGCCATCCAAGGAAAAGTGTGTCCTCTCAGGTATGGGGACACCCTGGATTTCCAGGTGGGATGATGTTCCATTAGAATTCCGAGAGCCATGGATGGCCTGGGAAAGTCACTTAACCTCTTGGGACCTCATAGGCTCCATCTGCAAAGCGGGGCCAGGATGGGCCTTTCTTGCAGCTAGATTGAGAGGTTGGTGGATTTTGAGGCACATATAGTACCTGGCACAAGGCCTGGTGCCTTATCAGTGAGTTGTTTGGTATTTCTTTAAATCTCAGATGCACTCTGAATATTGTTGACAAAAATAGATTCTTAAACTTACAACAAAGTGTAAAATTAAAGCCTATGACAGCATACGTATTTCCAGACATCATTGCCAAACCCAGAAGCAAAAGAGAAGTACTTTTAAATAAGTTTTGAGGCTCTTTCCTAATATATTGGTTTCTTTCTCAGAAGAGATACTTTATTATCAGACTGGGCTATATGTTTTAGCCAAACACATAAACCAACTTAAGAGTAATTCAGGAGCACGTATTACGATTTTTATTATCCGTCAGTCACTGAGAACGCACAGTGGCCAGTGCACAAAGGACAGCCTGAAGGGCGAGACAGAAAAGGACACTTTTTTTTTTTTTGAAATGGAATCTTGCCCTGTCATCCAGGCTGGAATGCAATGGCTCAATCTCAGCTCACTGCAACCCCCACCTCCCAGGTGCAAACGATTCTCCTGCCTCAGCCTCCCAAGTAGCTGGGATTACAGGCACTCGCCATCACGCCCAGGAGATTTTGTTATTTTTGGTAGAGACGGGGTTTCACCGTGTTGGCCAGGCTGGTCTCGAACAGCTGGGATTACAGGTGTGAGCCATTGTGCCCGACCTAAAATGAGACATGTTTTAGCCCTGGGCACGGGTATTGCATGCCTGGTGAGGACTGCTGGGCTCACTGGACTCCCAGTTCTCCTATCATGTCCCCACCTCAGCCTTGGCCACAGAGGCTACTGCCAGCAGGAACTACGTGACATATGGGAAATAATGCCCTTTTCCTGACGTCAGGATGTCAGGGTGCCACCATGCTCTCAGATCTGTTCTGTTTTGTTTTGTTTTTGTTTGTTTGTTTGAGACAGAGTCTCCCTCTGTCGCCCAGGCTGGAGTGCAGTGGCACAATCTCAGCTCACTGCAACCTCTGCCTCCCAAGATTCCAGCGATTCTCCTGCCTTAGCCTCCTGATTAGCTACAGGTACAAGCCACCATGCCTGGCTAATTTTTGTGTTTGTTTGTTTGGAGACTGAGCCTCCCTCTGTTGCCCAGGCTGGAGTGCAGTGGAGCAATCAGCTCACTGCAACCTCCACCTCCTGGATTCAAGCAGTTCTCTGCCCCAGCCTCCTGAGTAGCTGGGATTACAGGTGCCCACCACCACACTCAGCTAATCTTTACAGTTTTAGTAGAGGTGGGGTTTCACCATGTTAGCCAGGCTGGTCTTGAACTCCTGACGTTGTGATCCACCCCCTCCTTGGTCTCCCAAAGTGCTGGGATTACAGGCGTGAGCCACCGAGCCCGGCCAAATTTTGTATTTTTACTAGAGACAGTGTTTCACCACGTTGGCCAGGCTGGTCTCTAACTCCTGACCTCAAGTGATCCCCAGCCTCTGCCTTCAGAAGTGCTGGGATTACAGACCTGAGCCACTGCACCCGGCCAGATCTGTGCTTTGATGCCTGCAGTCTGAGCTACCCTCTAGGCACAGAAAGAGTGCAGGCACTGCTGAAGGTCACACACACTGATAGTGAGCTTGTGAGCCAGCCTGTCCTGCCCGGGGGCTGTCATCTCTGTCATCGCCCTTGGCAGCAGAAACCACCCCTGGAGAGGGCCAGGAATCAGGAGGACCTTGTGGAGGAGGTGATGTTTGAGCTGGGCCTCTAAGAGAAAGCTGAAATTCACCCTGTGGGGGCAGGAGAGGAAAACCATAGGAGAATCACTCCAAGGCATGAGACAGGACATGGGAAGGACGAGTGGTCCAGGGGCTCAGAGAAGCTGAGGCTGCAGCGACTGGACCTCTTCCCCAAGCCATGCTCTTTTTCTTTTTCTTTTATTTTCTTTTTTGAGACAGCATCACTCTTGTTGCCCAGGCTGGAGTGCAATGGTGTGATCTTGACTCACCGCAACCTCGGCCTCCCAAGTTCAAGCGATTCTCCTACCTCAGCCTTCCGAGTAGCTGGGATTACAGGAATGTACCACCATGCCCGGCTAATTGTATATTTTCAGTAGAGATGGCGTTTCTCTAAGTTGGTGAGACTGGCTGGTCTCGAACTCCCAACCTCAGGTCATCCACCCACCTTGGCCTCCCAAAGTGCTGGGATTACAGCCATCAGCCACTGCATCTGGCCTTTTTTCTTTTTCTTTTTTTTT